GCAGCAGCAGCAGCAGCAGCAGCAGCAGCAGCAGCAGCAGCAGCAGCAGCAGCAGCAGCAGCAGCAGCAGCAGCAGCAGCGGGGTCAAGACATGTTGTTGGTTTCTGCTGCTGGGGCGTAACCAGTGGTCGCTGCAGCTCAGCTGTGCGCTGCAGCAGAAACGCAATGGCTCCACTTTTATTATTATTATTATTATTATTATTATTATTATTATTACTATTATTATTATTATTATTATTATTACTATTATTATTATTATTATTATTATTATTATTATTATTATTATTGTTATTATTATTATTATTGTTGTTATTGTTGTTGTTGTTAGAGGCGACTGGCCTTTGCCAAGTTCTCTGGGGGGCCTTCAGCAGCGGCGGAGTCCGCTAGACTGAGCACAGCAACTTTGTGCAGCAGCAGCCATTTGCTGCAGCAGCAGCCATTTGCTGCAGCAGCAGCCATTTGCTGCAGCAGCAGCCATTTGCTGCAGCACCAGCACTTGCTTCAGCAGCAGCCATTTGCTGCAGCTGCTGCTGCTAGGACTTGCAAAGCTGCTTAATAAGTCTCTTTTTGTCAGCACAAAAGGCCAGAGCCCGTTGGCTTCTCTGAAGCTTTCCGTGCAACTTGGCCGGCAGCAGCAGCAGCAGCAGCAGCAGGAGCAGGAGCAGCAGCAGCAGCAGCAGCAGCAGCAGTTTGCAGTTCAAAACGGGCTCTGTTCGCTTCTTGGTGCCTTTCTTTTGCATTATCCATTTCCACGAACAAAGACAAACTGCAAACTCCCAAAGAGGTGCAGCAGAAGCAAACAGTGCCAGTCTTGGGCTCACTGCCAACTCCCGGTGACCTCTGGGTGTTCCACTTCTTTTCCACTTCTTTAAAAGAAACTTGAAGATTAAATTGCAATTAAAGTGCTGCGGAAAATTAATTCAAGTTTTGCAAATTGGGAAGTGGCAGGACACCTCAGAAAGGCTTCGTCTTGGCTGATCTGCATTCATTTCAACTCCGTCTTGGGGGCGGAAACATCTCTCGTTTCGCCTTTAAAGGTTTCCTCCCGTCCCCTTTTCTAAAAGCTGAAGAATAATAAATAAATGCAAAATAAATGCAAAATAAATGCAAAATAAATGCAAAATAAATGCAAAAACAATTCAACAGCGGCTCTTTCGAAGCAGCAGCTCGAGCTGCTCCCACAGCCTGTGTGCAGGCAAGCTCTGCACCCTGCAGAATCTTTAATTTCCTCCAACTGAAAATTCGAAGTCTCCGAGTTTTATTTGTTGCAGCGCCTCCGCTGGGCTTTTCTTTCTTTCAAATTGGAAACGAGGGCTTTTGCTGCGCCTCTGTTCTTGGAATGCCACTGCGTTTGAGGCCTTCCAGCACTGGAAAGCAGCGGCGCAGACCCGCAGCCAACTCGCTATAAATATATATTTATATATATATTTATTTATATATTTATATTTTATATATATGTGGCGATAATTTGCAAAAGACAGTGCAGCGCAGGCCAGTTGCAGGTGGAGTCCGAGGCAGATCAGCCGAAGTTGAATTGCAGACGAGAGCACTTCACGAGGAAGCTGTTCAGAAAGTGGCGGAATTCGCCGCGGACTTTGGCCGCAGCAATCTCTTTTAAATGTTAAAATGAGGATATTCAAGTTGGAGTCAAACGAGTCCAACTTGGGGGAAAGTGCAGCAGTTCTTATTGCAGAAAGAACTCCAGAGTGAGTGCCCACGTGCACGAGGCGCCTGCACCCCCTCTGACGCGGCCCCGGCCACTGTCTCGCCAGATTCCGAAATAAAAAAGCAAAAGTGAATTAATGACAATTAAGTTCCCGTTGAAACTGGAAGCTTCATTCCGTCTTGGCGGCTGGCTGCAGACTTGCAATGCTGGCTGCTCGCCGCGGTGTCCGGCGCCCTTCCGCGTTCCTTCGAAGGGCAAATGCAACTCCGTTCATTTCTAAAAGTCAAAAGTTCCAAAGAAGAGAATTAAAGAGCGAGGACACGCGCGAACGCCAGCAGATGCCGCGCACTGCAGGCCGGCACAGAGAGAGTAGTAGAACTCACAGGCTCACAGCTGTCGCTGCTGCGCTCGCGGGCACTGTTACTTCGCAGAGTCCGGAACTGCAAACGCGCGCGTCCAGAGTGCAAATATAACATTAATTTTGCAATTGGAATCCTCGAATTGAGGGGTTTCTCTTGGAAACGCGCGCGGCGGGCGTCGTTGCTCGCGGGCTGGCACCCGGCAGTCCGCCGCCAGGCTGCGGCGCTCGGCGCTTCTTCGCAGTCGGTTGCAGTTCGGCGCGTTTGCGAGGCTTTTGCAGCTTCTGAAAAGAAGTTGAAGTTTAAACTGGCGGAAGAAAGAAAGAAAAGGCTGTCCGCGGAGCCGCAGTCTCAGGCGCGGAGCCCCCCACGCGGCTGCTGCGGCGTTCCAGCTGCCTCGTGGTCGGTGTCGATCTGCGGCTCGGAAGCGTCCCCCTTCAATGAATTTGCAAAGTGCGCAATTTAAACACAATTTAAACACTTGAAGACTTCTTTTGGTGTCGGAGTTTCGCCTCGAAGAAAGCAAACCTCCAGCTTCGCGCTGCTGCGCGCCCGGCTTGCCTTGCGCAGCGCAGGCCGAGCAGCAGCGCGCCGGCCGCCGTGCTGCTTCCGCCAGCAGCAGCGGCGCAGACTTTCCAAACCCTAAAAAAGGGTTTTGTTTTCGAAATTCGAACTTCTGAGGCGGCGGCAGCGCTTTGCAGCCTCCGCGCGGGTGCATGCAGCAGTGGTCCGCGGGCTGCGGAGTTCGGCGAAGAGGCAGCAGCGGCTGCTGGCGGCTCTTCCGCGGCTTCGCTGCTGCTGCTTCCTTTTCGGGTTTTCTGGGGAGAAGGGAAGCTCCGGGGTGGCGCTTGCTGCTGCTGCCGCTGCCGCTGCTGCTGCTGCTGCTGCTGCTGCTGCTGCTGCTGCGCTGCTGCTGCTGCTGCTGCGGCGAGCGCAGAGAGGGCTTGGGGCGCGGCAGCAGCTGGCGCTATGGGTCGAAGCTGACTGTGGAAAGTGGCTGGGCGCAGTCCCCGGAAAGAGGAGAAGCTGCAGCCACCGCTGCCGCCGCTGCTGCTGCTGCTGCTGCTGCTGCTGCTGCTGCTGAGGATGGCGCAGCAGTCGAGCCTGCAGGAGATCGGGGAGGCGACGGACGCCGTGTTCGCGAGCCTGCACCTGCGGCCCTTCCTGCTGCGGCTGCCGCTGCCCGCGGGCGAAGCAGCAGCAACAATTCGCGGCATTTGCGAAAAAGTCACCAAAAACAAGTCCGCCTCCCACACGCGTTCGAACCCCCTCGACGCCGCCACGGAGCAGCCCGACGCGGCTCGCGCGGAGCAGCAGGTGGAGGCGCTGCGGCAGCTGCTGTCCAGTCAGAGCGTCGCGGGCTTCGTCTTGGTGCTCGTCGAGGCCCCTCAGGGGCCCCTGGGGGGCCCCCAGGGGCCCCTCAAGGGCCCCCAGGGGCCCCACTACTGCCCCGTCGCAGGCGGCATCGTCGAGGTCGTCGACCCCGTCGAACGCTCCGTACGCGCCATCTGGTGAGCCCCCACTCCTGCTCCTGCTGCTGCTGCTGCTGCTGCTGCTGCTGCTGGTGGTGCTGGTGTTCTGTGGTGCCTGCGCGAGCTCGTGCTGCTGCTGCGGGCGGGTGGGGCAGGTGCCGGCGGTCGCTGCCGGCGGAGGTGTCGGAGGTGATAATGCGGACTCTGTCTCTGCGGCTGTTTGCCTACGGCTTCGCGTCGAGCCAGCAGATGGTGCCGAACTCTCTGAACAAAGACTCGCTGTCGCCTTCGAAGACCCCCGTGGCCAACCGCCTCATCAGCTGCACGCAAGAAAGCATGTTTTTGTTTCCTCGAGACGCGACGGCGTTCATGAAGACGCAGCTCTGCATGTCCAGACACTGGGAAACGCCGCTCGACGGCGGCAGCCACATCGACCACCCCAAGGCGCCGTAGGCCGACGCGCCCCCGCGATCCGCTCGAATCTTTGCCCTTAGTTGTTTTGTTTTGCATTTTTAACTTTGTTTGCAAATGTCAGTGCGTTTTCGCCGGCCCCGCGGCGCGGATCCGCGGCCTGCTGAGCCGCCGCTGTGCGCTGCGTGTGCTGCCTGCTGCGTTCCGCAGCTGCCGCTGCAGCAGCGTGCGAAACGTCGCGGGCGCCTGGCAGTTTTCAGGAATCAGTTTGTCCCGCTTCGTGAATTACTGGCGAAACCACGGGCGACTGGCGCTGCTGGAGGTGCCCAGCTCGGCGCTGAGCTACTTCGCGCTGCACGACAGGCCGGGCCAGGGACTTGAAAGCGGCGCCAAGCGCCAGCGCCGCCGCGCCGCGGAGGCCGTCAAGACGGAAGAGGCCCCGCGGACTCCGCCGCAGGCCGGCGCCGCCGGCGCGGCCGCAGCCAAGGAGCTGCAGCGGCAGCAGCTGCAGCAGCAGCCCGCCTCCGAAGCCGGCGAAGTCATTGCTGCTTCCTCGCGGCGCGGGCTGCGCCGCGAGGGCTCCATTCCCCCGCTCAGCCACCACGGCGGCGCGCAGCGAAGGCAGGCCAAGGCCGCCAGGATGGCCGCCGCCGCGGGACTCGCAGCCAGGGGGCCCCTCCGGCCCGCAGAGAGGGCCCCCCCCGCCGGCCAGCAGCAGCTGCCGCGCCTCAGACGGCCCGCGCTGCCCTCGCGGCCCACGACGCGGGCCAACGCCCACAAGGGCCTGCGCTGTGCAGGCGAGGCGACGGCCAATTTCAGGGCGCGGCGGACGCGGTAGTGGCGCGGCGAAGAAAAAGGGGGTGCTTCAGCTGCTGCTCGTTTTTTGTGCATTCACATAGTGCGCAGGCCGCTGATGCAGCTGCGCATTCGCTGCGTTTAATCCTGGGCAGTCCCACTTAGTTTGGCAAGAGCTTTCCATCTGCTGCACCTGCTAGTTGCGAGGTTCTCCCTCTCGTGGCGCCGAGGTCTGTGTCACCGACTCACCAAAGTGGGAGACTGCGATACCCGCCTGTATCGCGTTTGATCAACCGAGGCAACACACGATCTGAAACGTCGCACCACCGCTGCAGTCTCAGATGCTTCCCAAGTGCTCTTCCCCTGCCTGCGCTTTTTAATCGCAGTGCGGTGCAAGCGATTTATAATTTGCACAGAACTGGCGCCTGAGGGAGCGCTTTAGAAAGCAGTGCATTTGACTGCTAGGTCTTTTAGCATTTAACTCTCTGCTGAGCCGTGATTCTCGCTCGGGTGTGTCGGGGGGGGGGGGGGGGGGGGG